ACATTGATGTTCAGATCTTTCGCGACATTTCCGACAACAGTCCCCAGATTCACCTCCTCTGAGACGGAGTAAGAGAGCTGCCCAGAAACCGTTTCCCAATAACAATCCAGCAGAACGAATAACAGATTAATCCACAGAAAGCTTCTTCTATGCGGTAAAAGCATATTTACAAAGCAGGCGAAGGCACAATACTCCAGCAAATATGTCACAGCAACCAATAAATGGAAATGAATGTATAATTATTCCAACGCAATCTTCTCTATCTTCTCAAATAAAGACCACCGTTCGTTCTCTTCCGAGCTCTCTTTGTAACAAAGCACACAAATGCATCATTTGCTGAATGTAGGATGGGAGGGGCCCGAAGTCATCGACCAGAACGTCTAAATGTGACGGTCTGTACCGTCCCTACGTGGTCACTTGCTCTAACTACATTACACGTCAGCAAAACCAGCGGACAATGGTGCACTGTATATTCTTAGTGTTTAAAAAGGGTAGTATAAATCACTAGATTAAAGGTTAGAAATAATAGTTCATCAGTTAAACGGATGATTACAATTAACATTTTATTATGGAAAGATGTTAAGGTATGTGATATTTTAAATGCTAAATTAAAAAAATAATTGGGCAAATACACTTGTTTATTTAAAGTAAAGAGAGAAGCGAGCACAAATGTTAAATATATAGGGGTATGTTTAAACACGTTATCGATGTTGTGATACGTTGTTTAACGTCTACTAAATATGCCAAAACACATCCATAACCGTGCACGTGAACCCGACAAGGACACATACGTTGAGCACCACGGAGAGCGGCAAATGAGTGATAATGCGAATCTGCCATGAATAATTCACGTTACAACAGAAAAGAGAACAACAACACAGCGTTGGAGAAGATCTTGTAGTGCTGTAAACTCAGCAACAGTGATTTCTTCGCATTTGTATTATTTTAGTCACAGCTAAGAAGTGTATAAATGTATTGCTAAAGATGATAAAAACTACGAGATGAAGATAAATTACATTAGGCTTTTAAGATTTCCAAACAAAGAAGTGCAGCAGTGAATACGAAATTTAATATTTTCTTACCTTCTCTTTGTTAGGCAAAGTCTGAGTCCTGGTAAAAGTGTCTCCTCCGTTAATACTGATCAGTTCTCCATCTACAGGTGGAAACGGGGCGGGGAAAACTACTATGTCACTCTTGAGTGTGTCTGAGCTGAAACACACGTCATACTGCTGAGTAGCTTTAGAGTAAGACCAGCTCCCGTCAGGGTGGGTGGTGATCATGGGGGCGCTGTACCT